TCATCATGTTCCTCTCCAGATGAACTTCTCGTCCGTGAAAGTCTTCTCATCTCAAAGCTCAAACCTACTTTAAATCAGCAAGGTAGCTCCATTCCTCTCTCACTCCTCTGACGTCTCTCCTTAACCCCCCCCCCTCTGCATTCCTATTACCTCATCACCTTGTAATTTGATATTGTAAATAATTATTCATATTTGTAACTTATTGTCATACTATATTCATTTACTCTGAAGATGTCTTAGGTTAAAGACGAAACGTTAGTACTTCTAAATAAATTTTATTTCTATATTTTTGTCTATATGGCTCTCTTTCGTACGTTATGCTGGGCATTAATCTTTATAATACGATTACGATTCCCGCCTGGTTCATCACTTGCAAGTATATTCTAACTTCTTAATTAATAATTCGAGGTTATTCATAATGTCAGTGGTTGAAGAAGGGGGTCTGTACCAAGTACTAACGATGAATGGTTTGGATTTAGGTTTTTGTACCTTGATACATAGCCACTCAAGTGGATCTTGAGCTAATTCATGCATAAGCTCATAATTAATAACATCTCTTATATAAAATGCAATGCCTCCCCCATTTCTATTTCTATCCCTTCTTTCTAAATTATAGCCTGCATGGTATGGAAACTAAATTATTTGGAAAAGATTGATCTAAACGGGTTTCATTAACTGCGAGAATGTCTATGCACCCAGAGCACATATATGCCTTTAATTCATCAATATGTGCTGGTAAACTATTGATATTCAAGGCAGCAATTTTGAAGCCTCTAGTATTAGTCATTTCATTCAGTAACCGTTGATCGTTATTATTTTCCCCTGCTTGACCCCGAAAAGAAGCCCCGTCAGCCAACGTGGGCAGGCTTTTTCAAATTAGTACTATTTGAATTAGTATTATTGGATATATTATGAATTATGGAATCTGAGCAATCATGTTCAGTGCTTTTGCATGTCGTACAAAGTGTCAAGGGTAAACTGGCATGATTAGTTGATTATATTACTACGGTCTACGGACAACAAACACAAAAACATCTACAAATTTAGACCAAAATTAACTAACGTTATTAATCTGAATGTTGAAAAATGAAAATAATTTTTTCAGAATTGAAATGAGAATTAATCAATCTTTAGAATCTTTTGATCGGCATAGTAATAACTTTCAACAGTCTTTACCAGTAACTCCAGACGAACAGGGGCGAAACTAAAGGGGGATTTACAGGGGGGTGACACCCCGGCCCCAGTCTCTATCTCGTTGGGTCTATCTATACAATCTCGTCGGACAAATTTTGAAATTATTCTCGTGTCTCGGAATTGAAAAGTTATAGTTTTAAATTTACGAATAATAAATAATAAATTCACGAAAGTATTACTGAAAAACGATACGATAAATTATTTCGAAAGTTAGTGAAAAATGCTGTGTCCGGAAATTTTTTTACTCCCCCCGCTTGCCAACAAATTTTGGGAAAAGAAATATTAATTAGGGACTGAAATGTTCGTCCGTCGGGAACGACTTCGGCCACGCCTTTTTGGTCGGTCAAAACAAGCTCACCCCCCCCCCCCACCCCCGACGGTAATACCGATGTTTTGCCCCTGCAGACGAAGAGCCTTCGCAGTTTGCCAGTAATTCCAGATGAAGGGCCTTCCGCTCGAAACGTCGAAATTCTCCTTATGTTTTCAGGTAGTTGCATCCCTACCAACGAAATCTTGTTCAAACTTGTTCATATAGTATTAACTTACCATTTACCTGCAAGAAGCAATAAGGATTTGGATATAGATAAGGCCAGCTAACCCAAATAAAATATTTTCTAACTTCTTTTCCACCCTTGGAAATTTTTTTGTTTCGGCGCAGAAACAAATCTTAAACTCACTTATTGCAGTATATAGGATCCCATGACTTGGTGGCGTATTTTCCAGTCGATTTAAGGTCGATTTCAGAATAAGAATGCTTTATGGCAGGTTTTCAGTTGGCGATGTCATAATATTTATTTTGTACTTAAGATACATGTTACGAGGCTTTATTTAGGTAGTGCAGTGAATCGTTACAACAATCTCTAATAATTATCAGTTCTTAATGTTATGTTCGTCTTCTCGTAGTAGTTTTTCAAGAGTTCACTTTACTCTATAGTCCACTGTCCATTGAAAGATCATCCACTGAAAGATCATCCACTGAAAGATCATTCACTGACAAATTTGGGTTGTGCACGCCCTTTTATACTAACGGTTGTGGGATCTTTGTACACGTGACGTAGAAAGTGGTGTGATTTGTATGTAGCCAATCAACGTTGAGTTTTAAAAGTGTGGGTTGGCGTTGCTAGCTCGTTCCAGCCCTCAAATTCTGTTTATTTAAGGCGTTGTCGCACTGGTCGAGTTGGTTCGCTGTTCAATCGATCAATATTAAAATATGTTCACAACTTAAAATACTTATCAAAATATCACAGTAAAAACTTCAAACTATATCTATGTGAACCTTACTTTACCTACTAAACTAAATTTACTTACAATTTTATTGAACCAAGATTTTGATGACGTAATGTTATCATTACTCAACCGCGCGAAATATACCGAAGAATGGTTGACAGAAAGGCCCTAAGCATGCACACTTTCATGTCAAAGAAGAACCAGCCTTGGACTTTGAATTATGTAAACACAACAGCCCACCATGCAAGGTTATCTTTGACAAATCCATCTTTGACAAATTGACGAATTATCTATCTTGCCTAATGGACAGATAATTGACATTTTTACGCACGTCCGAAATGAGATATACTTTATCTGTTTATTTTTCGTCAAAAATGCTCATTATCTCTCCATTCGACGTAACTAGTATCTTATAGTTACCTGGGGTGCAAATTGAACTATTTTTATACTATTTTTAATACTTTCGTAACATACATCTGCAAAAAAAGACCCGATTGTGAATTACGTTATGTAAGCTTTGCGGTAGAGATACACGGAAGAGTTGTATCCTTTATCGACAAACATATATAAAAAGAAATCTACTTTTACTTTATTCTTTAAGGTGTTGAGATGTAGTAAAATGTCCATGAACGCTGGTGAGGTAATGGAGTTGGTATGCGACGACACTCATCGTTTAGTCACAATGGCCGATCAATTTCTTCCCAACTTAGTTCGACAAACAGCTAAAGTCATCGTTTACATTACTTGGCTATTATATTTTGTCGGCTGGAATTTTGTGCCAGGTCTAGGAGTATTTACGATCCTCGCATTATTTCGCCTATGCATGACAAAAATAGACATAAACTATCGTAAGAAAGCTTCACAACTTTCAGAGAAACGCCTTGGTTACCTTCGAGAAGTTCTGACTATCATTCATTCCGTTAAACTGAATTGCTTGGAGCATGTCTACGAGGGAAAGATTCAAAGAACAAGATGGTAAGTTTCTTTTAACAGAGCAAAGAGAAAAGGAATGATTAAATTCATATTACACGCATACTGTACCTATTCCCATGGCATGTTATTCCGCTAAAAAATCTCTGACATTCGATTCGCAAACATTCAATCTCGAGCGCTTTACTAACCATATTAATTTGACGGACTCATACAATAAATTTTCTGAGCACCTTTTCTTTTTCTAGGCAAGAAATAAAATATAAAGCAAAAAGGTGGATTATTCTTTCTGCGAGCTTTTCGTTTACTTCATGTGGACAACATCTGTCAACCTTTGTCATTGTGCTGGTTCTCATCTACACTGATCGCTCTATGCTGACTTTTGATAATCTATTCACGATAATGGTGCTGTCTGTCGGCATTGGTGAGATTATTTGCATGAAATTACCGATTTCTATTCATTTCAGTACGGATATAATCACCGGTCTTACTCGGATACAGCGATTCTTGGAAAGTTGCGATGCTACACATGATACCATTAATGAATTTCCGCCTACCAAAGGAAAGGTATCAGAGATAGATGAGAAATCAAGCGATGATAAAAAATCTTCGGAGGTAGTTCGTGAAACTCCTTATGTTTGCCTGGATAACGTATTTTGCAAACTACTCACATCCAATGCTTCATATGCACAAACGGAAGATGTTACACTTTTAAATGACATTTCTATCACAATATCATCCAAGAAGTTAGTTATAATAACTGGCTCAGTTGGCAGTGGAAAGTCGTCACTGCTCTCAAGTATTCTTCATGGAGAACTTCATATAGCTAAGGGATCTATAAAACATTTTGGAAACATTGCGTATGTTTCGGATACGCCTTGGGTATTTCCCGGCACCATTCGAGAGAATATATTATTCGGCTTAGCGTATGATGAAGAATGGTATTCGAACACCATCAAAGCTTGTCAGTTGGAGAGAGATTTCAAAAGATTCCCAGATCAGGATTTATCACATATTGGAGAACACGGTGCAACATTGAGTGGTGGACAACGGACACGTATCGCATTAGCACGGGCTGTGTACTCACGCGCTGATATATATCTACTGGATGATCCTTTCAGTTCTTTAGATGCCAAGGTGGCAGAAAATGTTTTCAACAATGTTTTCAAAGGATTGTTGTCAGAACGGATTGTTTTTGCCGTTACACTCAATCCTCGGTATTTGGCCCAAGCTGACTACATCGTGAAGTTAACAAAAGGTCAGTTAAATTATATATAAAACATAAAATTACAAAAACGTCTATGCTCTCCTGATATCCTCCTTGTGGGTCTCTCAGGGGGTCTTTGTTCCCGTGTTCACTTTAAACGTTTCCTTTTGTTATTTTGTTCCCAAAACGTTTCTGAGTCTACATGTTTCCTTGTTCCCCAGCTGACTTTTTCGGCTTTCCATTGCAAAATATCAGGCCTTGTTCTCTTGTTCGCTCAAAACCCGGTTAGCACTATTTTCCATCCAGCAAACTGACCTGACATCATTTTCGGAAGATGGAAGAGGTGTTAAATGGCTATGTAACGCCATTACACTGAATCCTCGATATTTAGCCCAAGCTGACTACATCGTGAAGTTGACAAAAGGTTAGTTAAATTATCAGTTAAATCATAAAATCAAAAAACATCTATGCTCTCCCGGCTGATATCCTCCTTGAGGGTCTCCCAAGGGGTCTGTGTTCCCGTGTTCACTTCAAATTTCTCTTCATTCTTTTGTTCCCAAAACACATTTCACTGTTCCATTGTTCCCTAAGCCTACATGTTTCCTTTTTCCGGCTTTTCCGTTGCAAAATATGCCTTGTTTCCTTGTTCGCCCAAATCCAAACCTGGGAGTCCCGCCTTCTTTGGGTTACACATATGCATAAATAAACAAGATGTGAGTTTTTCCAATGGCTCCATTTTAAGAAGGCTCTGCATTTTTAGACACAACTTTTTATATATTCAATCTATAGACAGAATGAGCTTCCACTGTAAAACAAAGTCATTGCTTAGAGGATTATAATTCACACTTTCCGGTCCAAATGTATGGAATACAAGTGGTATGACGCTTCCCAGAGCGTGAATGAGCCACATTATGCCAAGCATAGGGGACTAGAAACAAGAAGAAGCGCGGGAACAGCCCCTGCTGCGCGCCACGTGGCGGAGCCCCCCGCATCATATTCTGACTTTTTTCAAATGTGTGAATGAGCCAAGTTCAAGGTAAGTTTTCGCTGTAACATTTTGCCTTTTCTGTGCAAAATTAACCTATAGTTAGTAGTAATGAGTTCTAAGAAACGATGGAGATCTCGCAGCAGACAAAGTTCTGACGAGCGCTCCGTTAGTCGCCACAAACACAACAAACGCCGTCTCTCTGAAACCAGTAGGTCATTTGGATCGCGATGCCAATAACAATGCCAATAACAATGTTAATGCAAATGTCTGGTTGTTAATAACTTGGTTAAAAAATAAACTTTGGTGTGGCCATCAACGTGAGAGTCGAGAGGGACGGGGGTCCGTGTTCACCAATTTACCCGTGGTCCGTGGTTGGCTCTCCCCGGCCTTGGTGCTTCACAAAGCCAAAAAGGAGGGAACAACGCTAGTGTTGGTTGCACGTCTATGGACCGCACAACCTTGGTGGCCTCTGCTGATAGATCTAGAACTAATTATAGATTACTCAATCTATCTAGGGAACAGTCCCAAATTACAACAGGATGTGTCCAATCAAGGGCTACACACCCTCTTTTTCCCTCTCTGAAGTTAGCCGTATGGACAATATCAGGTAAAAAACCCCAAAACAATCGGAGTTTCAGAGACAGCTGTCGATCTCCTCTGCAACAGCGTCAAGAGCATAACCACCAAAACCTACAATGTCTCCTGGACTCAGTGGAGTCGCTGGTGTTCGGAAAGGAAAAGTGATCCCGTATTATGTCCAGTATCTGACATTTTGACCTTCCTAGCCGAACAATTTTCGAAGGGTAAAGAATACAGGACGGTAAATGTGTTAAGATCAGCAATTTCCTCAGCTAACTGTCATATTGATAACAAACCTGTTGGACAGCATCCTCTCGTATTGCGATTAGTGAAGGGCGTGTCAATCTCTCGTCCACCACAACCTAGGTACCAACACACTTGGGATGTTTTTGTCGTTACTAATACTACTATAATAGTGCAATAACTTTGAAACAACTTTCACAGAAACTCTGTATGTTAACCGAGCTTCTTTCAGGGCAAGTTAGCGCCATCATGGCTTCATTGGACATCACTTGCATGCGCTACTACCCAGAAGGAGTTAAGTTCCCTCACACCATTTTTCGCAAGCGGTCTCATAGTGGAAATTTAGGGGAATTGGTTTATCCTAAGTTTGCCAACGAATCACTTTGTCTGGTTACGTGTCTAACGAACAAAAGGATAGAAACAAAAGAACGACGACAAGCCATGCCGTTTTCTATCTTTCAAAAAGCCTCACAAACCTGTTTCCTCATCGACGCTTTCACGTTGGGTTAAGGAAATAATCCGTCTGACTGGAATTAAGGACGATATCTTTAAAGGTCACTCGGTTCGTGGGGCCTCAACCACTGCTGCCAAGACAGCTGGTTTATCCATCGATAGTATTTTATCTATGGCTGATTGGACGAACAAATCAACTTTTAATAACTTTTATTATAGGCCTTCATTGCCAATATCGTATGAGACATCTGTTTTGACTAACCCAAGTTAATTTATCAGTTCATGTTTGTTTATTTTTTATTCAAATTGAATGATTAGTTTGTTGTGTGTCAGTAATTGTATTCCATACATTTCGACCAGAAGTGTGAAGTATAATTTGAATTATACAAGGGCGCGCTCGTATAATCATAATTATACGAGCACTGCGGCGCTTGTATAATTCAAATTATTAAAACCATTCATCTGAAGTTAATCTTCGGTCAAAAAGAGACCATTACTTGGGGGGTACGTTCAAATAGTATACTAGGGGAAGGGCAACATGGGCTCTGTCTTTCCTGCCAAATTACTCCATACATTTGTAACTCTGGGACTTCTTCCTCTTACCAAGACACATTTTTTTCTAACAGAACGTGTTCGTATGTGGTATATATCTAGATTAGGCATTGTAATATAGTACTTCTTCGATGCATAAACACATGTCTTGCTTCTATCTTTACAAGTGCGCATGCTCCTAAAGCATGACGTAATTATTACGCCATTATTAACATCACTGAGAGTAACAATCCAAAATTATTATAGCGTGAGAATTGCATGGCTGGAGATGATAAATTTCTTCAATGCAGGTATGGTCGTCGCTCAGGGAACAGTGGAAGAAGTAAGGAAACATATACCAGAACTAGAGATCGCTGAGAACATCGAGAGCACGGTAGAAGAGACAGAGGAGGAGAGTGAACATACAGAAAGAGATGATAATCTTGCAGAAGCTGAACAGTTACGTGAAGCTGAAGAAGATCGTAAAGTAGGAAGCGTTTCTTTCAATGTTGATGCAAAGTATTTCATGTTTGGTGCCCCAGCGTTGATGCTTTTACTCTTTTTATTGATCATTGTTGCTGGACAAGGTAAGACAAACTCCACTAATGAATATACAGTAGATGAAGAAACGTCGAATAATATTTTCGTTTCATTGCACTGTGTGCTGAAGGCAATGGCCTCAGGACGAGGTTTCGTGCCAAACTATAATGTTTATATATTAAGTTAGCGCTAAGCCTCGACATGGTGTTGTTGTTTTGGACAATTAGAGGGTAATTCGGAAAAGACCCATTCTTCGGCTAGGTTGATGGACAGTGAAGAGACAATAGTATTACTGAAAGGTTTATCTTGTATCTCCTAATAAATTTGTGCTGGTGCCAATATGCAAAGCCGCTCGGTCTAAATATTAATAATTAACAATTATTGAATTCGGTTTTCGCACGATATGAAGAAGTCATCAGTTTGTGTTATCAACCTCAGCCGAATTGTTTAATTATTATCTAAAAGATGAAAGAGACGTCGAAATAATTGCCAGTTCTTTTTCCCATTTGCAGATATTCTTTCCTTTTTTCTTTCATAAGTAGGTTAAAACGTTTCAAAACCTTTTGTGACCGTTTTCGTTGATATTTCTTCTTCATGTTTTAAAAGTTGTTTCCTTTAAACCTGCAAACAGGCGGCGTCATTTTGTTTTGTTCGTGTTTCCACATTTCGTATTCGTATTTCCACAGCACGACGTCATTCCGTCGTACATAATATTTTCATATTCAACGTTATGTTGTTCATACCAAATTCAAATTTGTTTACCTCAGCTGGGTTTTTATTTGGGATTGTGGTTTCAAGTAGCATATACTCGGGTGAAATCGGGTGATGGATAGTGCTTTTCGCGCAATTTGATTGGTTGCTCATATCCGGATATCATCTCCGGTTGCTTGTTGCTTCACCTCTGGACAAAAACAAAATGGCTTCCCGCATTCCGGTTACAAACGAGCACATTTTTGCACTAAACGAACCTGTCGTTTCGCCAAACAGAAAAATGCCACAAAGTTTTCTTTAATGCTATTTCTAATGAATAAAATTACCAAAACCTTGTAAATGCTGTTTTGTATACAACCTCTTTAAAAAACATTTTCGTTGTTTTTTAGTAATTTTTGTTTTGTTGTGGCCATGCTAACACAATTATTCGCCTCAACGCTTCGCATTTGGTTGAATATCCTTACACGATTCACTATATGTTTCCTTTTTGTAGGTCTCACGGTATGGGTTGATATCCAAGTTTCATCATTACCGAATATTGTGAACGACGAAGATAAGTTTCACCGCGCGTTAATTGTCTATCCAGTATCTTTGGTGGTCACAATATTGATAGTCATTCTGTCAAAGTTAAGCATATTTCTTGTACCGATTCGAGCTAACTACAGAGTCCACAATAAAATGGTTACTTGTCTACTTCAAGCCCCTAGTCATTTCTACGCTGTGAATTCTGCAGGTCGAATACTGAACAGGTTTTCACAAGATATCAACAACTTGGACGATCTTCTGCCATTTAACTTGGTGTACTTCTTTCAATGTGCGGCGCCCGGATTGGGAGCAATTGTTTTATGTTTTCTCTCAAGTGTTTATCTCATACCAGTTTGTTTCGTTGTACTTGGTCTCTGTTTTGGTATCTCAAAGTTTTTCTTCAGTAGCGCAATGGACATTAAACGTTTAATGTCTGAGTCTGGTAGTCCCTTGTATTCACATTTTTCCAACACCATGGAAGGAGTTAGAACAATCCGCGTGCATAAACGACAACAGAGTTTCATAGAGTCTGCGTACAGGTATTAGAAATTGAAGTTCGTGATAATCCTGGTTAACACGTATGATCATTCTAAGTCTAGGAATAGAAATAAGTGCGACGCTGGAGCGGCGTCTAAATAAATTAAGTTCGACAGGTTTTGATTAGTTCGACACAACTCGTGACGAAGATGTGACCAGTGAACTATATACACAGTTATATAGTTCAGTGATTACGACAAGACTGTCAAGACAAGTCGTATATGCGACACTGGTTCGACATTGATTTAGACGCTGTGCTTTTCATGCGCCAAACCTAGCTAATGCATAATTAGTTTTCAATATTATAATATGATTATCATATATTTGCATTGTAAATATATCCAATATAGTGTCCTCGCAATTTGGTATGGCACAATTAAGTTCGATATCTAAATCAGTTTCCGATATTTTGCCGTAGTCTACGACAATTATATTGGGCGCATGAAAAGTTCGCCGTCTAAACCTAGCCTGTGTACAGCCGTTAAGGCGGACTTCCACTCAGTGCATAATGTCGCGCGATCGACTTTTTCCGCGCGAAATTACCGCTCTCTTTTTTAAGTGGATTTCCATTCCGTGCACGGGAAAAAAGCGCGCCAAATTTAAAAACAAATATAGCGGCTATCAACAATTAACGGGTTGCTTTTCGCAGGTGGTTTAATCGACGAAAAATACTTGTATTTTCGTTTGATCTTTTCGTATGGAAAGGCTATGTTCCATAAACGCGGTTCTTCATTCACTAAATGTATAAATATTTTAACATTGTATTCATGCGTTTGAACAATGGAAAGATTTTGTGCTAGTGATGTTGATGTTATAGCAATGTCTTCGCGGAACTCGTCGATGTCGTCCACTTGAAAATTTCGTTCGCTCATGTCGTCGGTAGCCATCTTTGTTTGCTATAAATTTTGATTTTGCGAGCGAATAAGTAGAAAGCCGGTCTATTCGATCGCGCGTTCTTCAAGTCTTTGCAATGCGTATGTGCAATTATCCATTCCGAAGTTGATGAGTGGACTGGGGACGAGTGTTAAAAAGTGTCCAAATTAAGAAATGAACCTAATCACTAAAAAGACCACCTCAAAATTAGTATACAAAGTTTGTAGATGTTTAGATGAATATCCTTCGAATAATAAGCTTTCGAAAATCGTGATATTTACTATGAAATGTATTGTAATTTTTGTTTTCGGGACGCGTGTCCCAAAAACAATCTTTTAATCAGTAATTTCACGATATTCGAAAGCTTATTATTCGAAGGGTATTCATGTAAACGTCTTCAAACTTTATATACTTACTAATTTTGAGGTGGTCTTTTTAGTGATTTGGTTCATTTCTTAATTTGAGCACTTTTTAACACTCGTTCGCAGTCCACTCATCAACTTCGGAATGGCTAATTAGAAAACCGCTCGGAAAAAGTCGATTGCGCGACATTTTCCGCTGAATGGAAATCCGCCTTTACTCTCGACGAAGCGCGCGAGACTGAACGTCTGTGAGTTGGATGCATAGTCCTTGTTCAGGTCACGTGGATAGTTCCCAGATTTGGGGACCGCCTCTGATTGTACAGTGCTTGATTTGAATAATTTTTGACAAATGCATGCAGCTATTTCATTGGTTAATTGATAATTAGCATGCGTTTAAATTACTTTAAAATAACAACACAAAAATTTTAAAATTCCAGATCAAGAATCAAGATTTCCTTCGGGGCATGCATACAAAGGTTTGAAAGACTTGAAATACAATCTGTCGAGTTTAATTTTGTGCTGTATCGAAGTTTAAGAAAATCAAGATAAATTCTAGTGTTTGGACACTCAGCGAACAATGCCGACAAATATACAGTTATGCGGCGATTTCTTGCAGGTATTTGCTGGCAATTCTCTCGTTGATTGCGATTAAAAATAGCCAGCGGGAGAGTCAAGAGGGACAAGGGGCCCGTGTTCACCAATCGTATTTTGTCCCGGGGCCCGTGGTTGGCTCTCGCCGGCCTTGTCCTGGAGATAAAGCATTTTCTTTACATGTAATGTGTTTAACTTCGTCTTACTTGACCAGTTAACTTTTAATTGCTTTAAAATGCATAACCAGTTGTGTTTATATTTAATACTTTGTCTTTGTAAACAAATATACGCCATGTATATGTACGCCAAGAACTGAGCTTGTACACCGGACGTGCCGGCAATGATCATCGTTCATCGTTCCAACTCAAAACAAATCTCTTCATGGATTTTAAAATTCCAGATCAAGAATCAAGATTTCTTTCGGGGCATACAAAGGTTTGAAAGACTTGAAATACAATCTGAAAAACAATACACGAGAAATATATGCAACATTCAATACAAATTTCAAACCTTTGTATGCCCCGAAGGAAATCTTGATTCTTGATCTGGAATTTTAAAATTTTTGTATTGTCATTTTAAACGCATGCTAATTATCAATTAACCAATGAAATAGCTTCATTTGTCATAAATTATTCAAGGCGCTGTCCAATCAGAGGCGGTCCCCAAATCTGGGAACTATCCACGTGACCTGAACAAGGATTATGCATCCAACTCACAGACGTTCTCTCGCGCGCTTCGTCGAGAGTAACGGCTGTACACAGGCTATCTAAACCAGGCCTAACAATTTTTACTTATCTATCAATCTGTACATGATTGATCCAGATTCATGCACCATTCATAAACCATTTTGCATAATTGCTGGAACTTATAAATATACATGCATGTTCATTCATTCATACACAAATTCATAGCAAAAACTATGCAAAATTCGTGTTTTCAAGGAAAAATCATTAACACGAGAGCCCTGGTTGAAAAGTCCTGCGAAACAAAAATATTCAAAATGCCATATTTATAATATTTTGAAATGGTCAAATTTCCAATTTTTTTTCAAGGCACATTGATCATCAGCATGAAGCCATGTTTGCTTATTATACAGCAGCTCGTTGGTTTGGAATAACCCTGGACCTGGTTCTTGGTATGTTCTGCGTTCTTGTTGGTTTGTTTGAATTGTACACAGTGAAAGATTCCTCAACAGCAGGTATGAATGCATATCATTTACTTAGTATAACAGATGGAAATTTAGTATTCCTTAAACTTGGCGTTATAGTTGAAAATTTTATGTGTTGCTACAACTAAGATTGTCCTCTGATATTTTAATTAAAGTTTGGATACTATTACCTATTGCAGCTGGAACATATACTATAAGATTAAATATTATATGATTATCATGCGTTACTATTATAACACTACAATTACAAAAACAGCTATCATCACACCATGCGACCATGCAACATATATTACCACCACGAACACATCAGCATAACTTTCAACACAATAACAATCATCACAACCATGCATGGTTTCTGCTGATATAATCATATAATCCTATAACTATCGCCATCATCACAACCACTAACTACCGTATTTACTACCATACCATGCAGAAGCATCATCACAACCGCCACCATCACCATCAAAACTATATCACCAGCATCACAACAACCATTTATGATACCATCATTAGTATCAGGTGTGACAACTATTCACAATCAACGATGCACAAATGACTATATATTACTACCACAACAACTACATCAGAAAGGTACCAGGTTAGAATGCAGTACTTAGAAACATGCAGGAAATTTATTTCTGTTTCACTACAGGGATTTAGATTTATAAGAAGATAAATAAACATTATAGTGTCAGAAATATAATGTGGTTCGATTTTTGATAATTTTAGTTGTTGGCGCAGTGACCATTTTGTATGCGTTTCGCTCTTCTGGATACACCACAGGCATGGTACGTAGTGCTGTGGAGGTTCATGCTCAGATGACGTCTGCTGAAAGAATTTTGGCTTACACTGAGATCGTACCAGAGAAGGGACGGGCGATCAAGGAACAGCCTCCTAAAGATTGGCCAGAAAGTGGAATCATACAATTTAACAATGTTTCACTTCGACATTATAAAGATGGACCTATAGTTTTGAAGGACCTGTCATTTGAAATTAATCCAGCTGAGAAGATTGGTATTGTTGGAAGGACAGGTGCTGGTAAATCTTCTTTGGTTGCTGCACTGATGAGAATTGGCGAAACTGAAGGAAATATTATTATAGATAGTTTATGTATTGAAGAGTTAAATACCCTATCTACTCGTCAACGGATTTCTGTTATTTCTCAGTCTCCTGTACTATTTAATGGCACTATCAGAGAGAACATGAACCCGACAGGTGAACTTGATGATTCTGAAATATGGAATGTTTTGGATCAGATGCAATTGGGCATTCTTGTTGGAAGTTTACCAAAAAAACTGGATAACGAATGCACTGGTGGTGGTTCGAATTTTAGCGTTGGTCAGCGACAGCTATTTCATCTTGCAAGAGTTTTGTTGAAACGAAACAAAATTATAATCTTTGATGAAGCTACTGGGAAGGTAGACCAGAAAACTGCTGGACAAATCCAGAATGTTATTCACGGCGTGTTTAAAGATTGTACAGTAATAACAATCTCACATCGTATGGCTACGATACAGGAGTGTGACAGAATTATGGTGTTGGATCAAGGTTCAATTGTTGAGTTTGACAAACCAGATGTTCTACTCAACAAGGAGAAAGGCTTGTTCTTGGAACTCACGAAAATTGCCAATGAAACATAACTTAGTAATTCCTTCTGTGTTTGGAATCAGCATATATAATTATAAAACTTTTCGTTTAGGAAACACCACGTAACTACATTTATATTTGGCAAAGCTTTCGATCCGTAATCCACATCTTCATGAGTACCGAATAATGTCGGACTAATTTAAATTCACACCTCCTTTTATACTCAGGTTTTATATATATTTAGAATATAAAAGAACTTGAAACGAATTGAAACTAGACTTGTAATATATTTGCACTGTTGATGATCCGTGCTAATGATTCTTTGCGGTTGTTATGCATCATGCCAAATCGAATAGTAAGACTAATGTTATAGATAGTTACGAACCGTCTATGAATTATTTAACACCCCCAGAGAAGAATAACTAATACGCACAAGTAAACCAAACAGAAACAAAATGATTGTGAACAGACGAGGTAGGTAATCTTCGAGTTAAGCCCTTCGAGTTAAGCCCTTCCAAACCACACCCATTTTCGTCAAAGGCTTAACTGGAAGAAAGAAACACAACTTAGAAAGTTTGAGTTAAGCCCCGTGAAAAGATAGGGGTTTAACTCGAAGTCACTTAAAATATTCGACGCTCGAGTTAAGTTTGAGTCGTCCACAATCTAGCTGGAAATAGTTATCATACGTCTCGGCCTAAATAAGGTGCAGCCTAAATGAGTCACGAATCGAACAACTCGTATAAACAATCAATTTTCATCAAGTAACAGATTTTTTTGGACTAACTTTTATACCTCTGAGCCCATTACGAATAAATTGACATCTTAGGCGAAATAAAGACTTATTATCGCTGGTATAAATGGCTCTATTATGACCATTAGTTGGCCGTAAAGAGCGACGCAACCACGCAAATCGAATCGCAAATGGCATTAATTGGTTATATTAAATCCCAAGTCGAGTTTGTCAAATGTTTGGTCAGTAGGTCTACGTGTATAGCTACGGTGTAGACCCTGGCAGAAACAACACCGCGGAAAAACGTCTGCGCATGCACCAAATTATGAAAATATGGCGGGGAATTTGAATATCAATTTCTAAAACAAAAACATGCTTATTAATTGGTCAAAAATTAGTAAAACAAACGAGAAAATATAGCAAATGGGCAGACTAAACATTAATTGAAAGCGTCCTAGCATTTAAAGTATGGAATAAAATATAATTCATGTAAAAAAATGTTGATTTTAACGGATACGACTTCGAAAATTTTTGCAAAATTATTCAAAACAAAAATTCGAACTCAAAAGTTAAGAAAACTCTCGAAAAGTTAAGCTTCTTAACCCACTCAAATTGTAGAATAAATCCTAAAGTTTAATTATTGTGAACACGAAAATTTTTTATATTTGGCGACACAGTTTTTTTTAAAGAAATGTATCTCAAACGAATATTCGGAAATTGTCGTTGCTTAGTTGATAAACAAAATGTTTCAGACGATAAATTTGTCAACAATCACCTTTAGTTCATGTTCTTGTACAATACAATTTCTTGAACCTTCTGGCTGTATTTATTCCTAGTTTTAGAATGACATGTTTATTTTTGCGCTCGAAATCTGGCTGTAAAGACGCACAATGAAGTCACTCCTTTTTACCGCCATTTTGAGCTTTCGGAAACGTTCGGAACAGCTTCTCATCAAGTTCGTAATACTGATTACAGGTAAGGTTGACGCATGCGCAGA